TTGCTATGTGTGTTTGTTATCTTAGCAAAATTTCTGATTTACTGGGAGGTACATGACAATTCTGGTCAGAATTTGCCACACAGAGAACAAATTATTAATCTCCCAGCTGGGTTAAAGTAAGTCTCAACATTTACATAATGTCCCCTTGGCCAGGATACACTGCCACATCCCAGGTTGCTGTAAACATGTCATTCTTCTCCTCCTTTCTTTGCCACTCTTTACATGGGCTTTTAATAGACACACAGAAATCAGCAAGTTTAGGAAGTAAACTGATGTAATTAACTGTAATCTGTCTAATTGACAGAAGACCTAAAGGACATCCAGTTGCTGTTGGTGATATTTCACTCAGCTACAAGAGCAATATGCCTTTATTTAGGTTTGCTATTGCATTCTGAACAATAACCACCCCTTTAAATTCTAAATATCCTTGAAAATTCTTTCTCCTTTTATGTAGCTGTAGGCAAAAGAAAATTTCCAACAACCTGGGAAATTAGCTCTTTTTAAAGTTCTGTAACATGACTAAGCATTCCCTTGACATTTAGTCATGTGTATTTCTTTTTTGCTGCCTTCTAATACCTAAAGTACTGCCTTAGAAGCATAAATCTTACATGTTAGACATATTTCAAGACCTTATATTACTATCAAAGGTATATTTTAACTCTAATTGTAGTATTATCTGAGGTATTGATTTGTAAAGATCAGTAGAAATACATTTATATCAGATTCCTTGAGATATTACAGTAAATTCTTTCCAAAGCTAATATAGAACTGGAGCTTTTTGAAACAATAGTAGAATCAGCAGTGAGTGCTGTACAGAGCTGAAAATGGCAGGAATGGCATATGCTGTTTTTAATTTGCACTTGAATCTGTCATACTAACCCCAAAGTAAACAAATTGAGCAACTCATGCACACAGAAATGCTATTGTTGGTTTTACTTGCAATATGTCCCCTTGCCCAAGGTTCTTCATGTAAATGTTTTCCTCCAGTAGATCTTATCTGGCCTCCTGATGCCTTGTGAATCAATGGCTTGTTGCAAACACAATTTTCAGTTTTCTTCTAATTGGGTGATGTCTGTTGGCTTTTATGATGTCACTGGAGGCATAAATATTTATTTACTACAATCCTTACTTTTGCTTAATCTTACATGGCTTAGCTGCTTGTCCACAATTATTCCAAAACTGTGTATAACTGTGTTCAGTCTTTCTCTAAAATGAACAACAAAGAAACAAACAAACAAAAAAAACCCAGAAAACCAAAACCAGCAAAAAAACAACAACAACAAAAAAACTACCACAAAACAACCAACCCCCCCCTCCCAAAAAACCCCCCAAAAAACAAAAGACACACACCAAAAAAGAAAGATTAATGGCATCAATGCCTGTAATTTATTCCTTGAGTAGTAATAAGTACATGGAGTACTTTCCAGCCACGTGTGTTCATTGTTTCAGCTGATGTGATTTATATAGTGAAATATGAGTCTGGCTCATGTAATTGAATGCTGTGTCTTGGGCTGCAGGACAGTAAATGAGATTAAGCTGTATTATGTCTCTGAAGGCAGAATATCCAGTTGGTATCATGGGTGGGATGTCACATTTCACTTCAGAAAAGGTGTTGCTTCAAAAGTAAACACTTTCTGACTAAACAAGAAGTAAGCTAATGTACGTTGGCAGGTTTTGTTATCATCAAATCTAATTAAATTATGATTCATATAATTGAGAGCTTATATTTGCATTGGTGTCTGTTTTCCAAAGGACTGTTTTGAACATGCTTTCACGTCTGTTTTAAGGAATTAGAGTTAAATAAAACTCTTCCTTCGGAACTAAAAATGGTTGTATTTTTACACATATGTGGGATTTTATATTCTGCTCCGATTTCCAGTTTGAAAACATTTTTATACATAAAGTATTGTCTTTGGGGAAGATCTATAGCAGGTGGGGTAGGAACAATTTCTGTATTATATGAAATAGTAAGTAGAATTTATGGGGTTATTAAGGCCTCGGTTTGGCAAAGGGCTGTGTAGTTGCATCATCCTGTACTCATTATCTTTTTCTGGCTCCTGACCTTGCTCTAAGAAATACCACACATTTAGTTATCCTTTCACTCTTAACTGGTAATTTGATTTTCTTATTAGATTATTAAAAGGAAAAAGGCTTGAAGTTTCATACTAAAAAGGAATATTCTGCACTCTTATTGCAGCCCCAGCATATGATCCTTCAGGTGATCGATACAGACACTCCAGTGTTTGCTCAGTGTTCAGTGCCAGCTCTTTATCACAAAGGGCTGCTATTGGATTCATACCCATAGTATTGCACACTTAGGAGATTTTTTTATTACTGTTTCTCCCATTTTAATTTATTCTAAACACTCCTTTTGAGAAGTGCTCAGCCTTTTGTCAGAAGAAATGCTTTGGCTGCCCTGCTGCCGCCTGATACTGCGCAGAGCAGGCAGTGGCAGAGAGTTTGTTGTTTTTGACAGCACCACTAAAAGCATGAAATGTTTCTGAAGGATTGGCAGAGCCCTGGAATAAGGGCTCAGGAAATGACTGGATTGGGTGTGGAAGAGAGACACTGTCCAGATTTAACACACGGGCTACCGAAATACTTGAACCGGAGGACAGGAAATGGAATCATAGGATGGCCCAAAGTGTACAGAACCCCACTGTTTGTACAGAGTGGGATTGTTGGGCAGCTTAAACCGCTCAGAACTCACAGCCCTGCCTTGGAAAGGTGACACTGACAGCCCCAGTGAGTAATAAAATGCTATTTATTGTTGCATTAAAGCCCAGACTTTACTTCCATTGTAACAGTAAGTTCTTTAAATGCTCTGGCATTTTTGCTGAAAATGGGAGGTGCCATAACAAAGTTTCAGATATAATTTGGTGAATATTATGCCATTTTCTGGCATTTTTCCTCCCTAGAGTGTTTGCAAATCCATTTAATTTTTACTCTGTCCATTGTGTAGGATGTCTCTCGGTCTCTGCAGGCTGGCTGTAGCTCATGCTGCTCTCATTTATAATGGATAGGAATTGATGCATAACTGTGTTAACAAAATCAAGATTCTACGAAAACCATCTCTGTTTCAGGAACCTTAAGAGTAGCACAGAACTGAATTTCTCCTTTTGGCTTGTTGGTTTTTCCATGTGACCCAGCTGTGGAGAGTTTTCTCCTACCAGTCAAGAGTATATTTAGCTCTAGTGTGTATTCTCAGCTCCAGCCCAACTTTTCAACCATTCCACCTAAATTTTATCTCTAACCTAGAAGCATCTGAATAAATTCTGCTGTTTTCTGCTGAGGGATGTAGATCCTTTAATCACAAAATCAGTTTTTGCTGTGGTTTTTAATACAGAAGGAAGAATGCTGACATTAAAAACTTTACTTTCTGCTGTGTTCCTTCTTTCTCCCATAAGTTCTGAGTTAAAAGTCATATTCCCATACCTCCTATGCAAATGTTTCAGGAAAGTACTAAATTAGAATGACTCCTCCTTGCTCCGTTAACCTTGGAAAACTCAAGGGACATATCAGATCATCCATGTATGGTCAGGCTTTTGGCACAGTGGGAAATGCACATAGTGAGTAAATCCAGAGGAGGCCTCCTCACAGCATCCTGGTGAATTCCCATCGAGGTTCTCAGTGTGCCCTGGCTGAGTATCTTGGTGGTACCAGGCACCTCCATGAAGTTTTTTGCCCTTGCTGAGACATGTTGCTGTTCTTCCTTCTTGCTGTGCTTTTAAAGGCATTAAAGATGTTGCTAAAGAAGTTAGAATGTGACACTGACAACTTTCTTATTTTAATTGCTTTTAGATTAATATGTATTTAATGCAATAAAATTGGATTGGGCATAGGGGCCTGTTCAAATTAGAATAATAGTGCAAAATTCATGCCAGCGTGGCGCTATGGGCGATTAAGAGAGAATTTCCCACACAGTGAACTTTGTCTCCCTGATTGTGCCTATAAAAGCTGCTTTCAGACCTGCAGTGTTAGTGCAAACAGAATCTTACTATGAATTGTGTTTATTTATACACACACAGGTTCTGTAGGGTGAACTATGGGGTTCCCTGTTGCAAAATTCTCCTCAACAACTTTTTTTCTGTTTGCAGCTGAATAAGGTTTGTGTATTTTGGGAATTGTTGCTATAAATATGTTTCTGTGATTGGAATGTGGCTTTAAAGTTTTTTCTGAGAAATATATTTTGGTTAACATAATTGGTGCTTCTGTCAGGATGGGAAAATAGAATACTGGGCACTTGACTGATTTACTGCCTTGGTGCTGTTTTCTGGTCAGTTCTGAGTGTAAGCTGAGGCCTCTACCTTGAGCGTGTTCAACTCTTGGAGATTTCAGTGCTGAATCCTGGACCTGTAGGATTTAGGTTTTCCAATTCCACTTAAAATGAGTACCAGGAGTAAGACAAAGACTTTGTTAAACCTATGGGCATAAATGATGTGTATATCTGGAATGAATTTGAAGGGAAAGGATTTGTTCCCCTCATTGTTGCTAAATATAATTATCAGACAGTATGTATTGATACTGAAATTAGTCCTACATGTCGTGGAGGTATACGAAGAATAAATTTGAGAAACAGAGACTTCAAGAGCTGATCTGTTGTTCTCACAGCAGCAATTCAGCGTAGTCCATGCTCTCTCTGTGGGGGTGGGGACCAAGTGGGGTTGTGCAAAACCCTCACTTTTCTGCAGGCTCAGCCTGGAGGAGCTTCAAAGGGCAAACGAAACACAACGGATGTTATTAGAAATAGTTCTTTGGCAATTTGCTCTTCTCAGCGTTTAAGCTGCCACAGCGTGCCCTTGAAGTGATATTCCCTTTCCATATTGATCCTCTGGTCAGAGTGGTTTGTGTTTGTTCAATTGTTCAATACTCAGCCCCTTGTGGGAAGTTTGTTATCGGAAGTTTTACGAAATAAATATTTCATAACTGCTACGTGAGCACCAAAATTTTGTATCGTCCTTCTCCTCAGTCTTACGGTCCATTGGTTTTTCCTCTTCCAGGAAATGGCTTTGTGAATTCCCGAGCTTCACCAAGTCTACTTGGTACCAGTGGTGGTGGGAATGGCCTAGGCAAAGTCATGCCTACAAAGTCCCCACCTCCACCGGGAGGAGGAAACCTTGGCATGAACAACCGCAAACCCGACCTCCGTGTCGTCATCCCACCCTCCAGCAAGGGCATGATGCCACCACTGGTGAGTTCAAACATTTAGAGTTCTGGGTCTGGCTTTGTGGAAATGGGCTGTTCTGCCCACAGGCACAGGGAGAAACTGTCTCACCTGCTTACCATAGGGTACAGGAATAGAGGGGTGTTTGTATTCTGAAATGCCACTGATGAAAATCAGAAGTACAGATTGTGATGTGGGGAGAATTCAGCTTGTAAGGCATTTTTACAGCTGTAAAACAGCAGTCTGACCTGAATGTGGTAAGAGCACAATCATAGAGACAGGGCCGGGGTGTTTTGATCTGACATCCCTCTGACTTGGTACTGAGAACTCCGGTGGTTTGGAGGATGTGGGTTTTAAAAAGGGTTATCCATTATTCTGTGGAGGAATGGCTGATCTTATTGGTGATGTGAGCTCTATTAATGTGCCCTAAAGCACATTTTGTACCTGTTTTTCCTGGGTCGTAATGGCTGTGGGATGTGAAGTGCAGCCTGTGTGGTGAGGAAGGGCTGAGAGCAGCACTGCTGTGATGTGGCACCGTGGAACGTGCCCTTGCCTGTCCTCGGGGCTCTCGTGTCCCCAGCGGGGCCATCAAAGGGCACTGAGTGCTCTGCAGGGCTGCTCTGCTCTCTGGCATCTGACACCAGGGTTTGTCCAGCCAGGCTGGGAATAGCACACGGGTTTGTGTCAGCCATGAGGCAGCCACGGCCTCAAGCCCAGAACAGGTCTTGCAGGAAGTGTTACTGGGTTTTTCCTTTAATTTACTTGGCCAAATCCTTTGGTCCTCGTTTTTTGCTGCCATGTAGAAATTTTCAGTGTCTCTGTGGATGTTTTCTGTATATGGAAGAATGGGCCATAACCAGGAGGAGCAGGATATAAACAACACAAGTACTCTCTGTATAATTCCTATTTGTCTTTAAGCTACAACAAGTGCTTACATTTGTTACTGGTACTCATGATGAATAATGCCAAATTAATCCAAGTAACAAAAGCTATAATTAGCCTCAGAGTAATGATTCTTGAAAAAAAAAGGTTTTTCTAGGAATACTGAAGTGTAGGAGAGATAGGAAGTACACTGGCTGATCATTACAGTGACAATTACACTTTTAATTAGAAATAGAAGCATTAATTCAGTTCTGATGTTAGTGGTGCGCAGCACCTGTTTAATGTTGTGTTGCAAAGAGCAACATCACATTCAGCTTTGGGTTTGTCTGTGTTTTTGGGGGAATTAGGAGATTTCAGAGTAGATGCTGGCATGGAATGATGGTTGTATGTGACCAGTGTTTTGTTGCTGAGCTGGTTGTTGGATCAGTGCAGGCAGAGACTGCCGTGCTGCACCTCCCCGTGTGCAGCCGTGTCCTTGGGGTCACCAGGCTCTTGCTGCACCAATTTCCCCAAAGCCATTGTTTGCTCAGTACAGCAGGTTTTATGTGACACAAATTTCATCAAGTATTACATTTCTAGCAGTATTATCTACAGAATCAGGTAGCAAATCCACATTATTAATTAAAATGAATCAAAATCCTGAAGCACAAACGTGACTTTGTCTTTCATTTGGAAGCAATGCTATTTTTAGTAACTGTGTTATCCCTCTTGTTTGCTGAGTACAGTCGGAGGAGGATGAATTGGAGTTGGTGAGTTTGGGCTGTTGTTTGCTGAGAGACAGCAAGATGCTGGAAATGTCTTTCACTACAGCTTTTTAACTGTAGTTTCATTACATATTTTAAATAATTCCAGTGTTCCCTTGGTAGCAGACAAAAATATATTTGTTTTATCAAACTAAAAACCCGACCAATTCAAGTTGAAAACACGTTCAAAGTCAGTGCTTGCCATTTGTAAACTTCCAATTTTTTTCCCTGAAAATGTTTCTGTTTTTCTTGGAGGGAACATTGGAAAAGAGCCTTACAAAGTAACTGTCCATGTGTATAGGATGTGTACTGCCTTCTGTATGAAATACAAATAATCACTTCCTACCCCCTCAATTATTGGAATATTTTTAGGAAGTGGCTTCACTTGTGAAGTTCTTCAGATTGTAACACCAGCCCTGTGTTACTTCTCTTCCTTTCAAGGAGATGACATCATTGCTGGTGAGGTCACCTTTTTGGAGGTTAGAATTATTTCATCCTGCGTGAGATTATCAAACCACAGGGGTGTTCCCTGTTTACCAAAAGGAACAGAGAATTGCAAATGAATAATTCTACCTTTTTTTCCAGTGGAAAGACATTCTGCTTTTAAAAGGAAACTCTTGGGATTTGAGTGTTTTCTATTTTTTTTTCCCTAAAGGTTTTAACATTTGGCATTCTGTCTGGAAAATCAACGTAAGGCTAAAATAATTCGTAACTTATTTTTAGAGCAAATTTCAAATTGTTTGGCTGCTGTGGCACCAACCAGGCACAAGATGCTGTGTCAGAATCACAGAGAAATAAATCGACCTCTTGCAGACCTTGACTTCTTGTTGAACATGGACCTGTTGCTCAGATGAGGCTCTAATTGCATGAAAGCATGGAAAAATTAGTGATTTAGATAAATTTCTTGATGAATGCATGCTGCTGGTTGATTTTTACCTTAAACATGAGAAATAGATTTAAAAAGTAAGGGAAAACGGTTTTTGAAATTCAAATTGAAGTTTTTAAGCATTATTGGGATGTCTTCCTAATTGAGCAGTGAAAGAGCTCTCCCACTTTCCTCTTGTCTTCAGAGTGGAGTGTCTGGTTTTCAGTGCAAGAAGGAAACCTCAGTGTAAAAACACTTGATCAGATATCATTGGAATTGGGATAGGAATTGAATTGGGATTGGGGTTGGGATTGGGATGCGAGCCCCGGCCCTGCCCAGCGCAGGCAGGAGCCGCGTGGATGCCGTGTGCGGCGTGGGCCATCTAGCGATGGAAGCGGGAGCAGCTCTGCCCGGAGCAGCCAGGGAAAGGTGCAGGGTCTGCCTCAAACGCGGCACACAAACACCGGCTACACCTGCAGGCTCCTGCCTGCTGCTCATCCCTGCCTTGGGAAGCAGCTCCAGATCCCAGCTCTGAGCACCCACTCTGTGGTTGGAGCTGAGCACTGAATGTGAAAAGCAGCTACCAACGGTAGCAGAGCATGAAATAAAGATACTGAATTCTTCCTGCTGCATTTGCACCAGTTAAAAAGATTAAAAAGAAAAATCCTGAAATTTGTCATGCAAGGACAACAAATATTGGGCTCATCTAAGTATTAGTATTGCTTAGTGTCTTTGTGTGGCTGAGTGTTCCAAGAACTATATTCAGAAAGAATTTACCTCAGAAAACCACCTTTATTAGCCACTCAAAAAAAAAAATCCCATAAGGAAATCCTTTGGTCTGGATTGTTTCCCAGTATATTCCTCTTTACTTTTCCATTATGCAGTAATCCCAACTTTATAGGCAGCCATCCAAGAAAGCTTTGGAGAAAGGTCAATTCCTGACAGACACAAAAATCTGCTCTAATAACATCTCTTTATGCCAGATAAACTTGGTCTAGGGGAGATTTTCAGAAGTACGTAAGTGATTTAAAGGGATCAGTTACAGAAAATCAGAGGGACTTTCTCTGGGAGCTTTGAAACCTGGGAGCTCTGAAGCAGAGTGGGCACATCTGCCAATGTGTGTGTTTGGCAATAAATGCCAAAGAGCCCCCAAATCCTCAGGAGGCTCAAAGATGGGAATTCAAGAGCAGCCAGACACAAGAGAGATCAGAAGCTGGCAGCCAGTGACAGCTGTGGCTAATTTTAATATGGGAGCTGTGATATATATTTCTTTCTTCAAATGGGAAAGATACAAGATTGATAACCCTCAATTCATCTTCATAAATTTAAGCTTAAATTGAACACAGCCCCATTTCTGTACCTGCTCATTCTGATATTTTTAAGGGAATGATGCATTTTTAATGCTGCTCGTTCTCTCAAGATTAGAGTGGAGAAAAAATTTAAGTGCTGCAGATCCTGAAATATCTGTGTCTGAAATAAGGGAAAGGAGTAGTAACTTCAGTCTTGTAAAGTTATGAAATGGATTCCTACCAAAGAGATGAGAAACTGCTCCTTTTGTAGCAAATATTTTTTCCGAGATAGAGAGAAGTTTGCTTTAAGAAAACGTATTTCCAGCAGATTGAAACCCAGCTCCTTGTAGAAATACAGGGTGTAGAAACTACTGCTCTTTCTAAGAATTCTGCAGATAAAAGTAATCATCTGTTCTTGAAAAATAAAACCCTAGCATTTTCTCTTCTTGACAGTATTTGTCATGGCCAAATGGTGTTGAACCTCCTATTTTTCAGGAGTATTTGCAGTTATCACCGTGGAGAGCAGAACATTCTGTGGCAGCAGCTTTGCTGTCTGGTGCTGTTCACCAAAGTGTTTAATTAATTTTCTAACCAGCAAATTTGGTTAGAGCTAATTTTGAGTGATATGTTTGCTGCAGATGTTCATTCCAGTATATAGGAAAGAAGGACTGTTATTAAAAAGCCAAATTGTGCCCACAGTTGAATTATCTGAGACAATCTAGTTTAGCTATTTTCCCTGTCAGAAAAGCACCATTGCTCTTTGTGAACTCCAGTGTCATTTGCTTGGAAACATATCTGCATTATAACAAGTGCTCTCTCAGTTTCTCAGGAACCATGGGAACAGCAAGATTATTTTATCACTGAAGTCTTATCAACACAAATTTAGAAGATCTCTGTGTTCCTTTCAGGACAGGTGTAGTCAGCACAGTGTCAAAACTGGCAGCTGAAATTTGGAAAATTGGATAAACAACTGTGAAGTGGGAGATTCTCTTCTGGTGGAACTGCATCTCACCATCTGCACTAAAACCTCTTTAAAAATAAGACTCAAAACTCTTAAATCACTTAAGAACTTCTGAGAATTATTGTGTGTATCCCTAAGAAATTGCATTAATTTTTGTGTGTCCTACAACGCTAACACTGTTGAAATCTGCATGCTTGGGAAGTGGCCCACTGAGCCTTCAATTAATTTTTCATTTCAGTTTGCCAAGATCCTTTTGGTTGTCTTGAAATGTTTTAGCTTTTTTAGAAAACCAATGCTGACAAAAAGGACGCGTTCCTAACTCAGGCCCAGCAGAGCAGCACGCTGGGATGCAATGCTCTGTTACGCTGGCACTGCCTTTCCCGTTGTTGCCCCTGGGCTCACAAGGTTTGTCCTTTCCATCCCTTGCAGAACACCCAAAGGATAAGCAGTTCTCAGTCCACGCAGCCCCTGGCCACCCCCGTGCTGTCGGTGACGACCCCGAGCCTGCCCCCGCAGGGCCTGGTGTACACGGCCACCTGGGACAGCACCCCCAGCACCGGTAAGTGCTGCTGAGCATGCCTGGAGCAGGGCCTCAGACAGACCCTGGGGCACGGCCATGGCTGTGCCCACACCTGTGCCCACACCTGTGCCCACACCTCACAGCTGTGCCCACACCTCACACCCGTGCCCACACCTGTGCCCACACCTCACACCCGTGCCCACACCTGTGCCCACACCGGGTGATTTCAGCTCTCCTGGTATCGGGGCCACACACAGGGAGGGACGGGGTCTGCGTGGGGTTCCAAGGAGAGCCTTTATTGAGCTCCTTCCTCAGAAGGGTGCAGGGATGAAGGGCCCTGAGGCAGGGAAAGCGGGGATTTGTATGGGGATCTTGAGGGGTGGGACAGAGGGGAGGGACCAATAGGATACATCTCATCTACATTCAACAGCAGGGCATGCTGGGAGAAGCTTTTTTCTCACCCTAACAGAGGAGGCTGTCACCTGAGGGGTCCAGGGGAGCGTTGTGGATTCTTTTCTCTCTTGGCCCACTGGCCTCCACAGCTGGGGTCAGGGCTGGGACTGCACCCGGAGTCAGAAGCCCAGGAAATTCGTGTTTCTGTGACACTTGACTTTGTTTTCCTCTTCAGTTCAAATGAAGGCTCTTACTCATCAAAACCGAGCCTGTAGCAATCCTGCCAGGAACTGGAGTGCCTCACGTTTAGGCAATAGCTGATCCTTCAGTACTTCTGTTCTTCAGATACTTTTATTGTCTGCAGGACCTTAAGACTCCTTTTTATCCAAGCTGGGTGTGATGTAAGGCATTTGGTAATGTAAAAGCGATGAGTGGTTTGCTGGTTGGGAAAGTAGTTCATGAAAATCGAGTAATAAGTGATGGAACATGAGGCAACGCCAGCCTCAAGTTTCACAAGGGGAGGTTTAGGTTGGATAGCTCTGGTGTTCAGTGGCTGTTCAGAGCAAACCCTTGTGGTCCCTGCTCAGAGGAGCCTCACCTGACACAGCCCTTCTGTCCAGGATGCTGTTTCAGGGAGCAGCTGGGTGCATCCCTCACTCAGAATAACCTGGGAGCTGCTGGCTGGAACCCCAAAAGCTGAGAGGGGCTGGAATCTCTGGAAGCAGCAAAGGCAATGGGAACTGATGTCCTACGTAATGGACAAGTGCTGGGCTGTGATTTTAAACTCCAGCCCATTTCCTTTGAGAATGCAAATAATTTGTGCAAAGCTTTTAGCCTTTAGTGGTTTTCACACACTTCAGAATCATTTCTATCAGATTGAACCTTTCAGGGGATTTGCAGGAAGAAATTTGATGTTGAAACCAAATTGTTGCCTGGGGATTCTCAGGGTAGTCTCCACTTACAGCACAATTTCAGTTTTGCAATTCAAGCACTAAGATAAAATTTAAATACCTTAATTGTTTTTCTGGATTGATAAGGTTGGTTTTTTTCAGGACTGGAAGGGATAGCTTCAGCTCTTGGATCCTTAATTAAAATGTTGGATATCAGTTTTCCACAAATACCCTATTTTATATAATCGGTTTTGGTATTCTGTAGATTGTTAGAGGAAGGGCCAGAACTAACTGAATTACTAAAACAATCCAGGCATTTAAAAAAATATTAAACCCCCTTGCAATCAGTTAATTAATAATTGACACCTGAGCAGAGCACACCAAGCCATAAATTCCTGGCTGCAGGTCAGTTGTTTTGCAGAGGTACAGACTGGCAGTGCTGCTTGTGGGGGGCACAGCAGTGATGGTTTCTGTGGTGCACAAGGTGCTCTTGTGTGTACATCTCACACCAGGTCCCTCCTGCAGCAGGGGTGTCCTCCTGTCACTGCCAGCAGATACGGGATTATTTAGGGAATTAATAATGCAGCTAATTGTGTAGTGACTTATGTGCTCTTTGGAAAAATACCTCCTCAAAGCCCTGTCACCAGACACGTTCTGTCTGAAGTGTCAGAAGTTAATTGTCCATGGTCATGAAAGCTGTAATTGCAGTGGAAAAAAATTACATGGGCACTGAATTCCTATCAGTGTTTCCTTCAGGTCTGCTCTGACAAATCCCATCAGCCCAGCACATCCATCTCCAGGGCGTGCCTGGGCTGCAGTGGGCAGGTGTTGGAGGCCTGGCTGCTTTGCAGGCTCAGTGCATGTCTGGGTCACTGCAGGGGCTGCACAGTTGTTATTTTTTCTTTATTTTTTGAATTCAATTTTAGTCTTGCAAAAGGGGCTTTTTGGGTCAGTCATCTTAGGACAAACCTTTCTGAAGCTATGCAGAAGTGTGTGTGAAGGTTTTCAGAGTTTTAGTAGAAGTGACAACTGAGAAGAAATGAAGCAGAAAGAAAGAGGCAGCCCAAGAAACTTCACCTGCTGGAGCAGCTGGGACTCCTGAGGCCTTTAGGAAGGCTCCTGCAGGGATGTGTGTGGGTCTCTGACAGCACAGGGCCAAGTCTTACTGTAAGGTGCACACCTCTGTATATACACTGCATTAATGTGTTGTACCTGTGGGTTTGGAACAAGCTCCCAGACAGCAACTTGGAGAACCTGAAAGCAGAAGGCAAAAATTTTTCATTTGGAGGCCTCTGTACTGTTAAGCTCCCCATGAGCTTGGCAGGATTGCTCCCAGACTTCAGAGTTTTCATGTTTGGATTCCTTTGGATCAGCTGCCTTTATTTGTTCTGGGCAGAAAGTCTTTGTATTTGTGTTTTTATATATATATGTATGTTTTATATATGAACCCCCTGTACATTATTTTGTTGTTTATTTGTTTCTCCCTCTTAGATTACTCCTTGACTAGCGCAGACCTGTCTGCCCTGCAGGGGTTTAACTCCCCAGGAATGCTGTCCCTGGGGCAGGTGTCTGCCTGGCAGCAGCACCACCTCCGTCCCGCAGCCCTCAGCTCTCTTGTGTAAGTACCCAGGGCAGCACTGGGGGGGCTGGAGCAGCTGCACCAGGGGAATATTCAGCACATTTCCACCTCTTGTCTGTGCTGGGAAACATTCCTGTGTTGGGGTGTTTATCCCTTCAGTCACCTCCAGCCTCCAGCTAATGAGCTGTGTCCCTGCAGGCTCAGCTTCTCACCAAGGGGGCACCTGTGTGGTGACTGAACTGTTTGGCAATAGGAAATATTTGTTTGTTCTGAACTTCTGTAAATGCAGCTCAGACCTTTAATTAATGATTTTTTCACCTTTGCTCTTCCCAGTAAACTGCATTTGTTTCTGTGCTGAGCCCCAAGCCCTCACCACCACAGACACGCGAATTTTCACTTGGTTTTCACTTTCTGCGTTGTCTGATTTGCACCTTTGGTTTTCCTTCCCCAGCACTGGCAGCCAGCTATCTCAGGGTTCAAACCTCTCCATTAACACCAACCAAAACATCAACATCAAATCGGAACCGATCTCCCCTCCCCGGGACCGCGTCACCCCCTCGGGGTTCCCGCCGCAGCAGCCGCAGCAGCCGCAGCCGCCGCCGCCGCCGTCGCGCCAGGAGCTGGGGCGCTCCCCGGTCGACAGCCTGAGCAGCTCCAGCAGCTCCTACGACGGCAGCGACCGCGAGGACCCGCGCAGCGACTTCCACTCGCCCGTGGTGCTGGGGCGGCCGCCCAACGCGGAGGATCGGGAGAGCCCCTCGGTAAAACGCATGAGGATGGACACGTGGGTGACATAAACCCGCCGTGCCGCCCTCGCAGCTTTGTGTTCTCAACATGAACTGTCCTGACATATCTAAATTTATAAATAAGGACGTGAATAAGTATATTTATATGTATATACATACGTGCATATATATATCTTCACATGCATATATATGTGCTAGTGTGTGTAGCATACACCAATCATCAGGCACTTACGACAAACTCTTGTATAGCTGCAGATGTCCCTTGGTAAAAGTAACAGAACAATCCCGTAGGTTTGAGCTCTAGTCTGGCACTTACCTGGACTCGTGTGTGACCCCAGCCCGGCCCGCGCAGAGCGGCGTCCCCGCAGTGTCTCCTCCTCCTCCACACCCACCCGAGCGAGGGCTCGCCTGTAGTACCGTCCCTGTGTGTAGTCAGCTCTATGGTTACTCGTAGTTAAGAAATAATTGCTTTGTAGCAGCAGAGCAGTAGAAAAGCAGGAAGAAGAAAGCAATACTGTACATAAACTGACCTTTCTATTACCCAACCTGGCATGGGTCTCTATTGCAGAGGGTGCATGGAGAAGGGCTGATGCTATAAGAAATAAAAAAAAAAAAACAAACAAAAACCCTGTTTTGCACGTGCAAAAAAAAAAAAAAGTGTATTGGGTCAAAGAAGTGATTTTTTTAATGAGTGAAAGAGAGCATAGAGAACTCGCATGAAATATTCAGAAAATATTAGCCTAGAAAATAGAACATTAACAAAATAAAATTAATATATTAAGTTATAATTGGAAGATGTTTGACAAATTTGTTTTTACGTTCATACCTTTGAAAAATATAGAAACGGATTTTAGCTCATGTATATTTTATATTAAAGAAAACAATACCCTAATGAATTGAAGACTATATATAAAGTTATATACAGTACTTTTGAACACATTCTGCTATGAATTATTTATATAAGCCAAAGCTGTATGTTGTAGCTTTTTTGTAGAGTATAGTTTTATCTTATTTTGACTTTCTAGTTTTTGCTTTCAAAGATGAAAAGGAAAAACTTGCAGGCGGAACCTTGGGGGAAAAATAAGCCATGAACACTTATATGTAAATTTAAATTTGAGCCAAACTCTTTGTGTATATAGCATCCTAAATATATTATCACCTTTGGTGTAAGTACCTATGTATTGTACGGTCACCAGATTAAAAAGTATATTTTTGTGGATTGACGCCAACTTGAAACAAGGCGAGGTCCTTATTAAGTAGAGTATTCACTGTTTAATATTTACTATTTTGTTAAATATACTGTACTTTCTTTGGATTTTAATTATTATTAATATTATTATCCAGATTTTTCAGAGGGTGTATAAAGGGGTTGGCCCCCTCACTGGTGGTGAATGTGTGCCGTTCAATTGTAATCTCTGTGCTGTATGGTTAAGCTTCATTATACATTTTATATATATGTATATAAATAGCAAAGTGGCAAAAAAAAATCCGGTGTTAAGTTCATCCTGCATAAATATAAAAAATCTGTTACAACACATTTTAAGGCATCATTTTAAAGCTGCCTCTTCTGAGGAGGAAAAAAAAAACCAGTGGAAAAACTTGACCTAATTTCTCATGATAGGGAAATGACACATATCAGAGGAGCACAAAAGGTTTTGTGAGTTGGCAAGTGGTTTGGGAAAAATTTGCTGCTTCCAAGAGAGGGAGGAATGCAGAGCCCCCTTGTGCCACGAGCCTGGGCTGGGAGCAGGTTTGGTGTTGGATGCAGGGCTGGGATCCCACCGGTGCTCCCGGTCACCTCCAGGCTGGCAGTGCTGGTTCTGGTGGAAGCTGCAGAGCCGTGGGATTGCCCAAACACTTCAGAGTTAGCCCTGATATTTATTACGGTTTTTGCTTGGGCTTTTTTTTTTTTTTCCCAGTTAGGAAAAATCCCTTGATGCTGTAAGGGAGGGGTGAGAAGGGCGCTGTCCCTGTGGCCTCCAGCCCTGTCTCGCTGTCCTGGCACCGTTCAGAGCCGCAGGGGCTGCAGTGCCCTCCGGCCCTTCCCTTGGAACTGCTTCCCCTTTCCTGGGTCCGTCCCGGCTGGCAGGAGGGTGCAGGCAGGAGGGACTCGTTCCCGTGGCCGCTGTCCCCAGTGACCGAATCCACTTGCTGCTCCCTGGAACCTTTTGCTGCTCTGACCAGTGATGTGAGTTCCATGATTTATGCACCTGTATGAACTTTGCTGTACATCCGAGTGGGAGTTCTGCATTCACATTTACTGTCTATTTTCTTGTGTGCCTTATCAGATGGCTTTGCTGACTGTATCTCAATAGTCTTTATTTCTATGCAGGTTTTTAAACAGTACTTAACTACTGTTTTCTTAAAGACAAAGCTACACAAGGGTTAGAGTTTGTATTGAAATTGCACCAATGAATTAAAAAAAAATAATAAAAAGAATCAGTTCTAAAGAGCTGGGCAAGGGAGTGGCCCTGTGCTGCCCCAGCCCCGGCAGAAACGTCCTTCCACAGCCCTCCGGTCTCGGGGAGCACCTCCTGCCACCGAGGACATGGGAATCCTGGTTTTTAATAACAAGTAACTCACTTTGAAACATACTTTTTTAGAAATTGTAAAAATGTTTTATATAAAAAAAAAAGAGATGACATAGCACAGATATTTCAACAGGTTAAAAAAAAAAAACTTTTTAAAATTATCTCTGCTGACTGAAGTGCAAGTGGATCCAATCCTGGGCTGAACCCAGTCAGGTCTGAATGATTTAAGATTTTTATCTCTGTTGTGACAAATCACCTCCATCCTCGAGCTCTCACGATAGTTTTGAGAACGCCACGTTGTCAGGGACTCGTCAGAGAGAACTGCTTTAGCCTTGCCTTCCCTCCAAGGACACTAATGCATCAGAAACTTGCGAGTTACTGTGCGCACAAGAAATACATAGTAAATAAGGAACAAAACAACTCCTAACAATTGATCCTGGGCAGAAGTTAAATCCGAATGTGAAAGAAAGACTTAACCAATGTAAACATTTAAATCTTAGTAGAACCTTTCTTCACTTTGCTGTGCAAGAGAACACTGCTTTGCTATATTTAAAATGGCTTTTTTAAAAGAGATTTATGTATTTGGTAAATGTTTGTAGTCAACAGTTCACAAGAAGCTGTTCACGGTTTAATGCTGATAAGCCGTTTGGCGGCACAAGCTGGACTTTGTTGCCATCCTTGAGACGAATCTTTTAAGAAAAAAAATAAGTTAATCTCAATTTTTTTCCCTGAATGTGTTGTTTTTTCTTCAATATACAATAAATATTCTAGTGAACTTTTTATCAAATGGTTAAGAAAATGCTAGAGGTTGTTGTAAAATATTTGTATCCTGCATTCACTAAAGTAAAGATACTGGCTTTTACTGTGTACTCCGGCCTCTCTCGTGTTTGCAGAGCACTGGTCCCGTCCGGCGCGTCCTTGCCCCCTCCAGGTGCCAGTCCAGGTGCCAGCTGTTGGTTCTTAACTGCAGCCACGAGGGTGTTCATCAGCAGGGATACAGGCACACTTGTTACTGCACACAAGGACTGATGCCTGCTAGGAACCTTTCATAAATCATGGAGAAACTGGCAGCTGAACCAGGCTCCATTGGGAGTGCAGAGCCCAAGGGCACTCCTGCCTCAGCCCCGGCTCCTCCTGCTGCTCCCAGTCCTGCTCACTGCAGCGCCTGAGGTGAGGCTGCAAGGGGCCCCTCCTTCTAAGCTGGTGCTCAGCTGTGTGGCAGCAAATGAAGCACAGGCTCTGCCCCTTGTGCTCTTATTTCATGTGGCTTTATTTAAAAATATAAGAACCTGGTCCCACCCCCTCCCCAGAACAAGGAGATACAGCTCTTCACAGAAGAAAAATACAAGATTTTGTTCAGTATGAGATACTTTGGCGTGTTCATTTATAAAATCAGGTTCCCACTTTTGAGAGCTGCAGGGAACGCAGGTTCTCACTGTAGCAGCACAGTTGTGCCTGTGTGGTGTGGGGTCCTCACTGGCTGGAGACACTTTGATGCTCCCTGTCGAGGCAGACAGTGCCAGGCACAGGCACAGAGGCACAGAGTCAGTCCTTGAGGCCAGGCTGAGGCTACACCTGCACAGCAGGTGCTCCTAGCACAGCCCCTCCCCAGCCCCTGCCCTGCCCCAGCCAGCCTCAGGCTGCCAGGGGAAGCTGGAAAAGCCCTGTGGTCCTGCTGGCAGCTGGGAAGCTGCAAATGGGGCTTGGCCAAGGTGGGGACAATGAACAGGAGCTTCCTGCTCCTGCCCACCAGCGCCGGCCTCACCCTCAGCACCAACCTGCCCACACATGTAGTGGCTGGTTCCAGGAAAGCCTTCACCTCTGCCCACAGGCCCAGAATTTGCTGAATCAAATTTCTGAGGCAAGTTCTTCTCTTTAGCAAATCTCCCAAGGCCTCCCTTGCTGCCCTGAAGAGCACAGCCCTGTGAAGCTTTTCAGTGCACGTGGTCAGTTCACAGAAACTGTCACAATCAGCAGTGCCACAGTCCTCTCCAGAAAGGCTTCACCCTTCTTCCTTCTTGGACTCCTGTCCTGGGCCTTGCACCCTGCACCCAGCTCCCACCTCACTCCCACTCAGACTGCACACAAGGAAGTAATTCCACGACTGAGCCTGGGTCTCTGAGAAGCACCACTATAGACTATTATTAGATTTTTTAGCAAATAATACTGACTAGACCTCCTGCCAGCAAATGAGCCCTTGAGAAGTGCCTGTGACTCCTCTCTTGTGCTCTCCTGTCCTCATCCAACAACCCCTGCAGGGCTGAGCAGCACCCTGGGACAGCAGAGATCCTGCACTGAGATCTCTGAGGGATTTCACTGAGGGGAAGAGCTCTGGGCTCACCCTTCCCAGGGTTGGGCCTGATGCATCTCAATTGAACACAGCTCAAAGATTTGCTCAGGAGGGTGACAAGGTGGGGTGCTGGCAGCGCCATCGTGCCCTGGCACACCCAGCTCAGAGCTCCAGAAAGCATCATTAGGGTCAAGCAGGCCAAAACCACCATGGTCTGCAAGAGACAAAAACGACACTTCTGAGAAAAAGCGTCCCCCGCTTCTATTCCAGCAAAAAGTGTTTCCTTAAAATGCAAACAACCCCCAACTTTCCAACCACATTAATACTGCACTCTCCAGCTCAGCAGCAAAGAATTTGCTTCTAGACGCGGCATTAAGAAATACCTGAAGCAACCATAATGAATAAATTGCTACAAAATACTTTCCCTCAACAGAGTTCCCAACTCTGAAGCCACCTAGGTGATGATCTCTTTAAGCAACAAAGCATCCTTGTTTTTCTATCAAAATCACATCACCTCATTTTCAGTCAAATTCAGGATTACATCATCAGCTACTTATAAAAATAAAAATAATCTGTATTGTGATATCCCCTCGGGTGCACTTGAGTCAGTCACGAGCATACGGGCATTGCTGCTGGAGAGGCTGAAGTGGACTGCCCTTTCACCTTAGGACTTTTTTTCCTATGACTGAGTCTTGTGGTAATTTCCCTTCCTATCCAGCCGATGAAACATTTGAGTTTGTCATATTAGAGGTGTGGGCCACCAGGCCTTGTGTTTTAAAATAGATGATATAAAACACTGGCAGGACGATTCCTATCAGGAGCATAATGAACACGGCGTTCCACCACTGGATTCCGCAGTCCGCGCCGTTCCCGGCTTTGTCCCGGTTCCCTGCCTCGGGCGGGGGCCTCTCCAGCCCCTCCCCGCCGTACTCGGCGTTCAGCTGCACCTCCACCTGCACGGCGTCCTGGATGCTCTGGTCGATGCCCCTGAAGTACTCACTGACTCGCCGGCCGCCAGCGGAGCCGCCAGCAGAGCTGCCCGCACCGGGGTCGGGCTCCGGCGGCTCCACGCGCGTCAGGCCGGGCTGGGCGGGCCCCGCCGGGGGCGGCTGCAGGAGCCCGGCGCCCTCCGTGAGCAGCCCGTGCGGCCGCACCGGGATCTTGATGGACTTCAGCGCGTACAGATCCTGCTCCCGGATGAAGTTGTTGACGCGTTTGATATCTGCAACCTAAGGAATCCAGAAAGGACACAAACAGTGAGGGCAGGACAGCCCAGGAGTGAGGCAGGAAGCAGCTACAAAACCAGTGTGCAAGCAGCCATCAGGGAATAAAAGCAGGCCCTGGATGCAGGTGGTTTGATGTTCTGAGAGATTCTCCAGCAGTTCCAGGGGGGCTCCAGGCCCTGCAGGATAGAGTCAGTCCCCTGTGAAACCAGTCTACAACCTCCATCTCTTGTGCCTGCTGTGCTTTGCTCCATACTGCCCTCCCTTCTCCTTGCTTTCTTTGCCCTTCTCTCAGTTAAGGCAAGAAGAATCTTTTTAACTAACAGATCCTTTTAAAAACTATTTTCATACCTTACACATGAGTGCTTAAGGTGAGAGCACAACACCAGTGTGAGCATCTCCTGCTCAGGAAATTATTTCAGAGTGATCAGAGCTCCATTTTGGGAGCACACCGGTTCTGAAAGCAAGGGCACAGCCTGGAGAGCAGGTGAGCACCTCCCGCACAGGCACGAGCATCCTCTGCTCAAGGAACACCTCTCTGCTGCAGGACAGAGCTCATCCAGCCCATTCCTCCTGAGCATGTCCTGCTGAAGGACAATCACCTCTGTGCTCCTGACACCACCTTTGGTGGCTCCTGTGTAGGGCTCCTGTCTGTGAGCTGTGTCCCCACCCAGCAGCAGGAAGAGCAGGGGAGAACCAGCCTCATGTGCAGCATCAGGCACAGGGACAGGCAGTGCCAATGCAAGGACAAAGGCAAGGCAGCATCTCTCAGGTAACATTAACCAAGAGAAGATGCTTAATGCAGTGGCCACTCACAGCCACCCAGCAAGCACAGCAACTTCACAGTTGCACTAAACCCTCTGTCAAAGGAAAGGAACAGGATGTCAGTGTGTGTGCCAGGAGCTCTCTGCTGCAGCCAAGGAGATGTGAAAGAACCTTGAGGAAAAGGCTGGAGGGCACAAAAAACAGCGAGAGCCAAAGCAAAGAGAAAGGCAAGACAACCAGGTAAAGCACCTCTCATCCATCACAGCAGAGACACAGCAGAGGGACTGTGCTTTGCTCTCCAGAAATCACAGCATGACCTGCATTCACTGCACACACGCTCAGGGCTGCCAAGGAAACTGGGAGCTAAAACAAAAAAACCCACTTTACTTCCTAGGCACTCTGCTCAGAGTTGAGAGGAGAGGAGATGGAGGCCTGAATCTCATGTTTACTCTGCAAAGCTTGAGAACTCTGAAAACAGCACATTTAATCCAGGACCTGATCTGGGGACCCTGAGGCAAAAGGAATCCTCAGTCACTGCTCCGGGCTCCTCACGGTCAGCCCCAGTGTCAGCTCTGGACTTAAACACTGCAAAATTTCTTAGTTATGAAATAACAATCTCACCCAGAGCCTCCTAACTGAGGTGCTGCTTTAATTTCTGGATTTGTTCCAATGAAAACAAATTACTGGGACAGTAAATATCCCCCGTGGTGTCTGCAATCAAATACTGCAGTGTGGTGCTAAGACTCTAGAAACAGAAAGTGGAGCAGCACTCACACAGAAACAACAAACAAAGCTGATGGGAAGCAAGCGAGAGATTGGGCTGCACAAGCATTTAGGCTTATTTTCTGTACTCATTTTTTGGCTGCAGTGAGCTCCTCTTGTCCCAGCCTAAGAACAATGCCAAAAGCAAGCCAGGACTATAAATGGTCAAGAGTAAAAATGAGAATTTTGAAGTGCTTTGCATCCTTGCCAAGTTATCTGTGGCACACACACAGAGCTATTTGTTGCAGTGTCTTACTATCCCCTCCCCAAGCAGATTCTGAAACCAATGTCAAGTTCTCATTGATTTCAAGGAGAAGTTCCTCCTGGATTTTTACACACATTTGCCTATATACCTGTGGTTACAGTTCTCACTGCTGTCCTGGTGACCTTTGAGGAGCTGTTTAATTGTGCAAATAAAACACATGAAAACTGTCATGCCAGTCTTTAAACAGACAAATCTCCCACAGTAGGGACTTTGGTACCTGTTCACTTTACCTGGAATAAGTCAGAAGTGCCCTTTCTGGAAGGGAGGCAGGCAGCAGGACAGTTTTTGTCCTGTGGGAGGAGAACACTGACTCTGTGGTCCCTTCCATCAGCTTGCTTTTCCCTTGGGCAGGCCCAGCAGCCTCCAGAGGGGCTGAAAGGCTCCGGGAGGGGCAGCCACAGCAGGGACAGAACTGGGTGACAGTGCAGAGGCACAGCAGGACTCTTCATACACCAAAGAACTGTTCAGAATCTCCCTCCTCGGAGTTCACCCAACTGCTGTGAGTCTGCCCAGGTGCTGCTGAGAGCAGCACACAGCTTCACACCCAACCACAGCTCAGCTCTGCCTTCTCAGGCTCTCCTGGGGCCAATCAAGGCCTATTCAAGTCCTACCAGACTCGCTTCTCCACACGCATCAGCAGAACCTACAAGGGTCCCTTTTTTGTTTTGTTTTTGTTTCTAAGGGCATGGGAGGGGAGGAATTGCTGCAATCCCTCTAAGGCCTCTTGCCTCAGCTGCACCACACAGCTGCTGTGTGGTTAAGCAAGACAGCCTGCACTGGCAGGGCAGCACTGGAGGCAGAGCTGTATCATTATCCCCACTGCGGTCGCGGGCCAATGTTTCATCATGGAACTCTGAAATCACAGTCCAGCCTGCAGATAAAGGGGGCTCTAAAATACAGCTCCAGCTGCTGAACAACAGGGGGCTTCTAATGTTCAGAGCAGGTAATTCAACTTTCCAGCAGTTTTGCTCTTTTTTGGAACAAAGAAAACGAGCTGTATATTGCTCCAACTGAGAAATCTCACAGTGCACACGCCCTCCCTCCTGCCCACAGGCACCTGAACTGTGCACGCTTGGGATGACAGCAAACAACCAAAACCCAAACACAGACAGCACCTGGACTTTGGGACTGAACTTTGGTGCCTCTCCACATCCACCCCTGTTAGACTCAGACCTTCCTTGCAAAATGTAAGCTGATACCCTTCAAAAAATAAACAAAAAACCTCACCCATAACTGTGGTGTTTCTTTGTACTGCTCAATTTGCTTCAAAAACTCCAATGTTCCTTGAGAGCAGAGCCCTGGCCCTCATTGCTACACTCAGCTCCCCAGTGTTTGCCCTCACTGAAATAACTTGGTACAACCTGCACTTAGTCACCGAAATTGTAACAGGAAAGCAGGTCAGGCAGGGTGTGAGGCTGACAACATCTTCCCAGGCTTTTGGCTGAACAACCATTTCTTGTGTTTGTCTGTGGTTATTTTTGCCTTTCTCCAGTTTTACCCAGACAATGACCACTCATACAATGCACAGGGCCAGCACCTGCCGGTGTCAGCACTAGCAGAGCACAGGGGAAGCCCCGGGGGCGGTTAAGGCTCACCTTACAGCCGTACTGCAGGGCCAGCTTGTTGAGGCTGTCCTCCTCGGTGAGCTCCCTCTCCAGGAGCACCACGTCCCCCGGCCTGCCCCGGGCGGCGCTGCCCCGCTGCTGCTCCTTGCCCCGGGGCCGCAATTCCATCACGTTGAGCTCCTCCTCCGAGGACTCTTCCGAGTCGGAGCGGCCACTGGGGAACACGAACACCTGCCTGCCGGGGAAGGTGTGCACAGTGGCAGGAGCCTGGAAGGGTCTTGTCCGGCTCTCGTGCAGCCTCATCTTTCACACCGGCAGCACCTGCAACAAAACCCAGAGACTTTCAGTTTCCTCAGGACCAGCATTTAGCTCTGCAATCAGTAATTTTTTTCCAATTTTTTTTTTGGTCCACCTGTGAACAAACCTTATAACTATGTTGCTCAACATTTTAGATGCTACATCCTATAATTTTATTCAAAAAACTACATTCTATAATTTTATTTAAAAAGCACCTTATACTATGTTGCTCAACATTTTAAATGCTACATTCTATAATTTTATTTAAAAAGCAACACAGGCCCTTGAGCAAACTGTCTTTAATTACGGTCAAAACATACATCAGGTCTACCAACAGACATTAAAAACTGAGCAAAGTTATCTTTTTCATAAGTCTTTAGCTCTCTACACTTTTGGAATCTACATTTTAAGCTCTTGGAAAAGCACCTTTTTTTTGTTTTTTTTTTTTTTTTTTTTTAAATAAGGACAGCTCATGCTACACTTAACTTCAACCCGAATAACAAGGCTTCATTTTACTGCATGAAGACTAGAACCTGCCTGAGCACTTTAATTATTGCTCAGCCTACAGCTGCAAGTTCGGGTTGGTTTTTTTTTTCTTTCAATCCTCAGCTCCACAAACAATTTGTTGTCAGGACGAGGTATAGGTAAGAAAACCCCACATTGTTATGGATCCTTGACCTTAACGTTCTCCATCTACCCCCAAGGGATTCCTCAGGTGAAACCACTACGATTTAATGGCATTTCCTTGGCCCCGGGCACGGCACCCAGAGCTGCGGGTTGGGCTCGGCTGTGCCGAGGGAGCTCAACTCCCAGGACCCGGCTGCTGTGGGACCCCCCGGCCTCCCCCGGCACAGCTCCCGCCTCAGGGGCTGCCGAACTCTCCCCAGGCTCCTCGGGGGACCCGACCTGACCAGCACTTCAGGGGGACCCCCATGCCCTCAAGGGAGCCCGGTGCCCTCAGCATTTCGGGAGAGTCCTCCCCTCAGCTCCCGCTGCCCTCGGCACTGAAGGGGGTCCCGATCCCTTCAGCTCCCGCTGCCCTCGGCGCTCAAGGGGGTCCCAGTCCCCCAGGGGTCCCCGCTCCCCTCACAGGGTCTCGCTGCCCTCAGCGCCTCAGGTGACCCCAGCGCCCTCAGCACTTGAGGAGGGTCCGGATCCCCTCAGAGTGTCCCGCTCCCCCCTGGGGCCCCGCTCCCCGCAGGGGCCCCGTTCCCCTCAGGATGTCCCGCTGTCCCCAGGGACCCCGTTCCCCTCAGGACCTCCCGGTTCCCACCCCCCTCCCAGCGCTCCCCTCACGAACCCGCCGCCATCAGCCCCGCACCAACCTGGCCACGGTCTCGCCCAGCGCTCTTCCCATTGGCTGAGGGCGCCGGGAGGCGGGACCTCAGCGCCGCTCGGCCAATGGGAGCCCGGGAAGGGCGGTGGGGAGGGAGGAGATGAGCGGGCGGAGCCGGGCCGGGTAAGAGGCGGAGCCTCGTTTAAAGGGCTCGCGCCCCCGTTCCGGCCGGGCCGGGACCGAGCCCGAGCCCGGAGCGCTCGGGGGAAGCGGGTCACGCACCTGAACAGAGGGACACACCAGAACAGAGGGACACCTCACACGCCTGCATAGCCCCGGGTGAGGTGCCACTGCCCCAGGACACGTCACACACCCGTACAATGGGTCAAGTCACACACCTGAATGATGGGTGATGTCACACACCTGAACCACAGGTCATGTCACACACCCGTACAGCCATGGGTGAGGTGCCACTGCCCCAGGACACCTCACACATGGGTACAAGGGGTCATGTCACACACCTGCAGAGCCCTGTGCTACAGTAACATCTCAGTTACTACATTATTAATATGTAATAACAGATTACAGTGTGTCCATATTCCAATATGCCAATATTACAATGTGTCCATACTACAGTGTGTCCATATTCCAATTTGCCAATTTTACAATACGCCAATTTTACAACATGTCCGTATTTCTGCCCCGTGGGTGCCTGCAGAGCTGGCCAGCTGTGCTCCACACTGCTGTGTTTGCCTTGGCCCACCCTGACTCATGGCTGATGTTTAAAAAACAAGCTCAGGACACACTGCTGGCAAGTTCCACATTGGAAGCTTTTCTGGGGTGCAGGGACAGCAGAAACGATGCCCTCCTTGCCAGCTGCCACAATTAAGCAGGCAGTTCCCCAGGTGCCCACGGGGTGAAGATCTCCTGCAGGGACAGCCTGGGGTTTGGCTCAGCCCAGGGTCTGGCTGCTCTGTGCCCTACAGGTGATGGACAAATCCGCCTTTAAGTGAAATTAAAAAATTAAATCCGCTTTTAAATGAAATTAAAGCTAAGTGCAGTCGTTGGCCACCCCTTTGCCTTCCCCTGTGCAGCCCCAGTGTTGCAGGCAAGAGGGGAGGGCATTCCCTGTCCAGCTCTGGCTACCCCTGGATTAATACAACATCAGCTGGTAAATGTGACACACTGAGAGGAAAGAAGGCTCCTCAAGCATCAAGAATTTCTTTAAGCAACAGCTGTTCTTCACAGCTCTTACCTGCCCACACACCTTGGTGGGGCTGAGGGGTTTTGGCAGGGATGGAAGGGTGCTGGGACAGTGGCCAGGCAGGACAGGCTGAGCCAGCTCCCCATCTCCCAGCAGGATCTCCTTCCCTCCATCCCTGGGCCTGATCATCTCAGGAGCACTTTGGGCTCAGGCAGCTTGCTGGCCCAACAGATGATGGATTTAGTGTGCTGGTGAGGGCTTTACAAGCATGGGGAGTAGATGAAAGGTGCCAAAATGCCTTTCCTGAGCCACTCGGAGCCTCTCTGTGACTACTGATGTTCAAAAGTTACAAGCAATAATCACATTTTGTCAAACAGATCCAGGGTAACTGGGTAACCTGTTGAACCTGGAAAATAAACTGCTGAGGAAATGCTGGAAATGTGGAGGAATCAACCAGGCTCTGCTGACAGGGCTCAGTCTGGGCTGGATTACTGTCCTCGATAGTGTCTAACAAGAAATAACTGTTTTGTGGGAGTGTTGATGTTGGATCTGGGTCAATTGCATGGGTGATGTCATCATTCCAAATAATTGGAATATTTTTGTAGTTAGCAGACAGATTGTGAGAGCTGCACAGCCCCAAACAAGCAGAGTCTGTGTGAGAGCTCAATGGTTCAGTCATTATCTGCACTCAGCCAGCACAAGGGTCATTCTGAAGGTGCCCTGAATTTCAGGAAGAATCCTCCTGCCCTGACTGAGATCAATGTGACAGAGCTGTCTGCTCATTTGCACTCAATCCAAAGAGCAGTGTGTCCATGGTGCTGGGCACCAGCTGGAATTCACATCCACGCCAGCTGCTTCCCAGAGTTAATCCCTGTGATAAAGAATCAAAACTTTCATGAAGGTCTTGGCTGGGAATCTCCAAATGATCTAGAACAGGGCTCCTCTCCTGTGTCCCTGTGATTCCTGGGAGCTCTTGCTCAGACCCAGAACTGCAGTTTTCCTCATCACTTGGGATTTGTCCCTCTTTCTTCAGGCTCACTTTAGAAGTGTGAGAAGTGTCCAATACACATTCCCTGTGTTGCTCTGTGCTTCTCTTTCAGCTGCATTCTAAGTTGTGCAATAAAACCTCTCACTCAGTGACAGGCTGCTCTCCACCCTTGGGAAAAGAGTAACTTCAGGGAAAACTTCTTGAGCATCTCTTTAGTATCAACCAATCACTCCTGTTTAGTTTAGCAGATATCTGGGAAAGGCTCCTACACAGCACTGTGAGGCAACAGGAATGTGCTGGTATTTCTGAATTATACACAAAAAGAGAAAAAGATGAATATTCCCTTTTACCTTCATTTCATTGTTCCCTAGTGGGAGACTGGGAAGGCAGCTGGAGCAAACCCCACCCATACTCTGGACATGGCATTATAGAAATTATGATGTCTCTCTTGCAAATAATGAGTAAGAGCTGGGCTCTGCTCTGGCTTTGGACTAATGCAGCACAACCAATTTTAGTGAAGCTACCCCTGTGTTAAGTCAGAAGCACAAGCCAAATACAACAAAATAAACCTCTCCCCTGGTACCTGGAGTGACTCAGCTTCTGTGGGTACTGCACGTGCATTTGATTGAATTATACACACAGCCATAATTTTAAGAGGTTCATACAGTAAGCACCCAACACAGGGGGGAAAACCTCAACCGAATTAAATTAATTATAGGTAAATACTTAATAGAGTTAATTGAGCTGTGGAGGTTACTCAGAGTGCATGTTTGGTAGCATCAGGTTACACCTTGTCTCCTTCAAGGCCCTTGGAGCTTGTGCAGCTGAGCAGGTCCCAGACTCTGCCGTGGAGCACAAGTCCTGTAATTGACTGCCCTGGAAGGGTCTGGGGCTGCAGGAAGGAGCTGATGGCTCAGGTGGTGACATCAGGAAAGGAGCACAGAGCCCCTTCCCTGTCCCTGCAGGGCCATCCCTGCTCAGGGCCAGCCTGGGTACAGCCCTCCCGCACCCTCTGCAGTGCGAGCCCAGCCCCCGGCGCAGGTGGCAGCCACTCACGGTGTCCCTCCATGAGCAGAGGGCTGTGTCACCTGGCTCAGGCTGTGAGGAGCTGGGTACCCTGCACCTCTGGCTTCTCCCAGGGCAGAAACAGCTCCTGCCTCCACCTTCTCAGGCTTCTTCTCCTGTCTGGAACAGAGCAGGTGTGACAATAAAGGCCCAGCTTCATCATTCATCTCAGACATCAAATTACTCCCACCTACGGGGACTACATTTGCAACTCTCTCACGTATGCAGTGACTCAGGAGTGAGACTTTTATCTGGGGAAGCAGAATGCAGATCTGAATGGCACTGCTGTCTCCTGGAGGAGATAAGGTGTCTCTGCTCAGAGCCCTCGTTCTGGGCTTGCCTTCTATCACACAGCTCCATTTGGCAGGGGCTGCCTGGTGTGTGTGATAGCAGGCACTGAATTACTTCAGAAAAACAGACTTATTCTTTCTATAAAAACAAAGGACTAATTAAAAGTGGTTTAAATTTTGTAATTCATATTTTCTTGGAATTGTCCCAGACTCTGGAGTCCATGCTCCATACCCTGTCCTTATAGAGAAATTTGGTAAGGGAAAGCACCGTGAGATTTGTTCCCTTTCCTCTCCCTTACTCCTGAAATCCCCTCTCCCCCTTCTCCCTTCCTGCAACTGGTAAATTGTGAAGAACAGGAATGTTCCTGGGAAGAAACCCAGGCAGAATTGCATTCAGAACAAGTCAAAGATTTCTTGCATAGCTGAAGCATGTGTTTGCAATCCCCAGTTTCTGGAGCACGTAAGCCCTGCCAGCGAGTGCTGTTGCCTTCAGATGTTCTCAGAGAGCTCCAGGCAGTGTCCAGGGAAGCCTGTGGACAATCTGAGCTGAGGAATTGCTCCATGGCCCATCTGCTCATG